TTCTTTCTTTCTTTCTTTCTTTCTTTCTTTCTTTCTTTCTTTCTTTCTTTCTTTCTTTCTTCTTTCTTTCTTTCTTTCTTTCTCTCTCTCTCTCTCTCTCTTTTCCTTTCTTTCTTATTTTCATTTTCTGCAGAGCGCTAAAAAACATCAAACATTATTTTTACTTTCCTGTTTTGTGGCTGAATGAGGTTAGTAGGTTTCTTTCCTTCCTTCCTTCCTTTTGAGTTTGACTTTTCGAACCCTGAGATGCCTGGGGATTGAACCAACTAAATAAAAAGAATTTGCAAAGAAGGTCTGGGAATGATTGCCAGGGAGGGATGAAGAGAAAAACAGTTGCAGCATTTGGGTTTATCTAGTCTAATGAAGAGAAGGACCGGCCCGTGGGGGGGGGGGGGGGGGGGAGACAGGATAACAGCGTTCTAGTATTTGGGGGGCTGTCCCAAAGAAGAGGAGGGGGGTCAACTTATTCTCCAAAGCACCAGAAGGCAAGAGAAGAAGCAACGGATGGAAACTCATCCAGGAGAGAAGCTAGCTGGAACAAAGGAGGAATTTCCTGACAGTTAGAACAATTAACCAGTGAAACAGCTTGTATATACAGCCTGGAGATTGTTGCTTGCAATAATCTTCTTCTCTGGGCACACCTTTTTATGCAAAATTGTGCAAATTGCAAATTGGGCATAGAGAAGAGCATTGCTGGGTATTCAGACTGTATTGTTCAGCTGGAACGATGTTGAAAAATACTAATTTTATTTCCTTCCTTCCTTCCTTCCTTCCTTCCTTCCTTCCTTCCTTTCTCTTTCTTCTTTCTTTCTTTCTTTCTTTCTTTCTTTCTTTCTTTCTTTCTTTCTTTCTTTCTTTCTACCTTCCTTCCTTCCTTCTTTCTTTCTACCTTCCTTCCTTCTTCTTTCTTTTCTTTCTTCCTTCCTTCCTTCCTTCCTTCTTTCTTTCTTTCTTTCTTTCTTTCTTTCTTTCTTTCTTTCTTTCTTTCTTTCTTTCTTTCTTTCTTTCTTTCTTCTTTCTTTCTTTCTTTCTTTCTTTCTTTCTTTCTTTCTTTCTTTCTTTCTACCTTCCTTCCTTCCTTCCTTCCTTCCTTCCTTCCTTTCTTTCTACCTTCCTTCCTTCCTTACTCTTCCTTCCTTCCTTCCTTCCTTCTTTTT